TTCTAGCTCATGCAAAAGAATTGTTTCAAGGATTCTTTGTTTTTCCAAGCAGATTCTTTTTAGAAAAAAAACCTTCACTCGAAGGTTTTTGAAGAATGAATTCTGAACTGTCAATTTCGTTAGGATAAGATATTTCATTGGAATTTTAAACGACGATTAACTTCTTGTTGTGGGTGTAATTATCGCGTATTTACTTTTTGCGATAATATGAAATGCAATGTTTTTGTGTCACGAAATTACGTGTGTGCGAAAAATTACGATGTAATCTTAACTCTGCTTAAAATGTTGAAGATATTTATAGCTTACGCGTTACTTGTACGTTTCGCATAGAAAGGGAACGGAAATGGTTATTGTTGTCATTAGCAGAGAAGGGGTTCCTTTTGCGAATTTTAGGGCGCAAAACAAACGTGTCGTTTTCGAAAAAGGGTTAGCGCACGTCCGGCACGTTTCCGTTGGTATTTTCAGGAACACACTTTATAGATGAATATTAAGTCGGGGAAGTTGAAACGAATAATTACTATTACTCCTTGCGGCTTGGACAAACAGTCCCGCGTGTGTAGCAACGAAATGCATTGGTGCGACGTGACGAAAATGTAAACATCATAACGCATTTGGTGACGTATATTTCAAGTTGCTATATAACATATCATGCACGTGTTTTTGAGCTTTCTTGATGTACTCAGACTATTTCCTATTTTAGATCATTACTTCCTGGTGGAAAATGTTCTTAGAATTCTTCATATAATTCCTCAGTATTTTTAATATAAATTTCGGAATTTTTCAGAACTTTTGAATAATTTCATAAATTTTCTCTTACAATCAGAAAATTTCTTAGATATTTTTATGCAAATTGAAACATTTTTCAGAAGTATTAAAAAAGCCTACATATCTTAGATTTTGTTTATTATTATTAATATGAACTTAATATATACACTGAAATATTTTAAGATTTTTAAAAATTCTCATTCTATATTTTCTAAAGAAAGTTTAATAAAATCTGAAGTTTGAAGTATTTGTTCAGAAATCTCTATAAATTTAAAATATGAAAAATTCTTAAAAACATAAGAAAGAATTTTTTCACCAGAGTTCTATATTGCAAATGTCGCAGCGCTCATTAGATAGATATTTATGTATCAAAGGGTTACATTTGCATATCTTCTTTTTCTTCTTATTGTACAAGACTTCATCCTTTATTTAAACGATTTAGTGCACTATTCTGTTCTTTGAGCACTATTTTATTTTTGAGCAGACTGTTATTTTAGTGTTCTTTTTTTCGTAAATGGACTATCAAAAAATACACTAGGAAATATAGCCAGTGATAAGAGTAATTCAAAATTAACATTCGATACATGTTGCATATTTTACAAAATTAAAAAATGAAGTAAAATTATTACACACACTGAGAAAAAAATGTACCAAATTTTGATAAATATTGTATTTGTTTGAGAAATACTAACTTTATTTAGTTGCAGTAAATAAATATTTACTAAATAAAAGAAATTAAATCAAATTAACGATTCTCTCAGATATAAGTACAGTTTGCATTTAATAAACATTCTTATAGCTGTGCATTATAATATTTTTATAGCTAAATATATTATAACCATAAAATATTATTCAAATAAAAATTTATTAAAATTTAGTACATTTTTCTCTCAATGCACTACATAAATCTACAAAATTATTATTTTTTTTACATATATATTATTACATGTATATATATTATATATATAAATTTGAGCTATTATTATTATTTGGCACACTCAGTTTCATCCACTCTTCTGCAAAGATAAAGAAAGAAATATCTCTTATCGTCAAATTCCATCATATATGCGATTACGAATGAAGTGAGTAATTGCATCGAATTTTTAATGAGGGAGACTCGATTCAGAACATCCGCGGATCAAAGTGCGATTGATCTAAGATCATTTATATCCATCTAGTATCTAAACGTGACGTTGATTCGTGAAGTCCCCGTTTAATATTGAAGACCTATTCAAACGAACTTGCGTAGTTGCATAATGCGTACGCATGGAAAACCGATCGCATCTAATATATAGAAGACAAGCTCGTTCTCCCGCCGTCCCATTACGTTAAACGCGTCATAATGATAGACACGCGTGAATGATCTCGTTGTACGTGCACGTACGCTGATGCGGCTATGCAAATCTGCCTAGGTATAAGATCTTAAACGCATTCGCACCGAGTACGCTGACAACAAACGAACGGATAACTACGCAGTCAACGGTGTTCTCCACCTAAGATCTCTACTTGGCTCTTACCAGATCGTCTCGCCTTCCCATTTGAATATCCGCGTAACGTCCTGGGATTGTGCAACACTCGACGTTGCACTCTCGACTAGCGTCGCCCACGTGTGTTCGCGACCACGTTTTGCAACCGGGCTTGATCTATCCTGGCGCGCGACACGGTGTCCCTTTGTCTCGTAATCTTTCACATGCAACTGCATAGTATTAAAACATTCCTTTTCGCGAGAACACATAGAAAAATGTCGTTCTATCGCTATGATGGAACAATCGAATTTGGTTGGACTGCACCCAGAAAAAAAGATTGCTTCGCTTTAAAGAAATTTTGGTTAAATGAAAATATTTGTTTGACTGTGAAAAAATTTCTTTGATTTGTGAAACAATTTTGTAAAAAATAATGTTTAAATTAAAGAAATTTTTTCATTTAACCGAAATTTCTTTAAATCGAAGCAATCTTTTCTCTGAGCGTGATACATTAAAGTTGTATACTGATTTAATCTTAATGTAATAAGAGTGAGATGTAAATATTTCGAATTATAAAATACATATCCTAATAATATGAGTGTATTGAAGATTTACCTCATTTCTGCACAGAAAGAACGATTTTGTTGAAATATTTAAAAATTTAGCTAGATATGTATCTGAAAATAATTTTGTGAAACTATCAAAATTATTATGTATAGGATACTTATAAATAAAAACATAATAAGCAGTGCAGCAAAAAAATATTGTAGCAACCTACTGGAGTGTCCTATATAATTATTTTAATGGTCTAATAACATTTTAGGTTTATATCTAGCTAAATTTTTAGATACTTTGGCAAAACTTCTTTTCATGTACATTTATATTATAATAATATAAATTTTTATGTCAATCCGTATACGATAGTTTTTTGTGCACGAATGCACACTAAGTGCATCCAATCGAATTCGCTAAGAAAAATGATTACTCAGTTCAGTGATTATTCATGATTATTTTTTCAAATAATGATTCTGTTTAACAAAGGATATTTTCTCGATAATAGTCTTATTACAAATTTAAGAGAAAACTCATTATATCATGTATTAAAAATAAGAATTAATTTTCTTTTGAAGAATATTATAAAATTTTATCGAAGAAGAGAGTGACTTTATATAATAAGTAAATTGAATTTGTTTTAATTTTTAATTAGGCCTTGTTCTGTACTTTAACTAATAGTGTGTATTCGAACACAATCTAATAATTTTGATTGCGAAATGTTAAATTTACTAGAATTCGAAATATATTTTGAATTTTGATGCTTGTGATGAATTTTGTTAGATTTGCGGATATAATACATGAACTTTTGAAATACTTGAAAAAAGTAATTAATATTTAAATACGTAATTAAATAATTAATATTAAATAATTAATATTTAAATAGTACGTATTTTTCTATGAGTATGTGTCTTGATATTTCATTTGAGAAGAGATAAAAAAACAACCTCTCGGTGCGAGTACGCTCTACGAGGTAGCACGTCTATATACGCAACAAAACTGTAAATTCGGCCTGTATGGCATTCGCGTTTATCTCATGACCCGTGATTCAGAACTGACATTCGATACGTCTCGCAAAAACTGTCGTGCGTAATTATAGAACCCGTGTGTGCGGTGCTATGTGTTTCTCCAGACGCCGTATTATGCCGGGAGACCGAAGTTATAGGTAGAACCCGATATAATTAGGCGCGGCGGCGATTCCGCGCGTTCGCTGCGTTTATTCCGCGAAACATTTCCTCAAGGTCCCACTGTATTCCACGATCCGCTGTTAAATCTAAATTAGTAGACGTCTAGTCGCGCTCCTGTAAGTATAATAAACTCCCCATATGTAATAACATAAAGAAACGCGAAATCGCTCGACCGAACTGCATCGGTGAGATATTCGCCAGGAACGTGATCGTGGAACGTGCAATACTGGCTGATCATTATTACGCGTAATTACTCTGTTTATACCGGTAGATTGACTCCTTCAGCCGGTTAGTAATTAGTGTCAGTCAACATTTGAGCGTATAAAGTTGTTTTATCTTTTGATGAGTCACATTAATGTTTGCTAATCGAAGAAAAAGATCCGTGATCGATAATAAAATTTTAATTAACCTCTAGCGGTTAAATTACTTCTTTTCAGAGTCTTTTTTAAGAGAAGAACTAAGAGATACGGAAAATGACTCGAACGAATCGACGATTCTTCCTGCAAGTTGGAAGAGATTTTGTAGTAGTTTTTATCAAATTATCTATATAAATTTTCAAAATCCTGTTCAAATTATTTAAATTATTAAATTCAAAAATAATACAGATTAGTAACTAATAATAATTAAATAAAATATTGAAGCATTGCATGAAAATCAGAATTTGTTAAAACATTAAGTGCGTCAATTTTTTATTAATATGCTGTTCCTATAAAAAATTCGGTAATTGTTTTTATTTTGATTTAAAAATCATCAAGTATCTTCGTAAAAATCTATATATTATAGAAACATTTTCTATGCAAGAGTATATATGTACGATTAAATTAAAATAATTAAATTGACAATTTAATTTATAAGAAATTATTTATTTATAAGAAAGGACGTATAACTCTTATAACTTATACGTTAATATTTTAATATTTTATTAAATATTTATGTTCTCTTTATTTTCAAAGTTATTATTGCACAAACAATATAAATATAAAAATGATGCGAGAAAATTGTGTGAATGTCATAAGATTTATTCTCATTTCAGTGCTTCCCGAGAGAATACAAAAAACGAAGGAATTCAATAGCACAGCGTCGATTAACGTGTTACCACTCGCTAAGGGCAATTTAGAATACATCAAACCTTTAAAAATTAGTCAAAATCAATATGAAGATCCACGTAAGTATCTGAAGTAAATAGAACCTTCCTCAATTTTATACTGTAAATCTCTGGCTTTAGTTGAAAGTGAAAATGTACAAATATTAGTCCCTACATTTTAAGTATTTTTTTGCTTCCTTCATTTATCTCGGCCCTTTTTCATCTCCGATAGTCTTCTTAAATCTGAAGATAAACCAGAAATCACTAAAATAAATAATTAACGTAGACGGTCATATCAACTTAGAATAAATATTTAGAAAAATGAATACGTATGCTTGAAATTATATATAAAATTACTGAAACATATTAATATACACAAAATGTGTTCCTAGATTGAAAAGTATATAAATCAGAAGGTTTTTAACTATTCCATATAATTTTTATTTAATTTATTTTAGTTGATGAAGCTCTTTTTATGTTTTCAGCCGAGCAGTTTTCCACAGCGAAGAGGCATCACAGTGGTCACTTCCGACACGCGACAGCTGAAGTCTGGGATCCTCATCCACAATACGAATTTACCGCCTTTGGAAGACGATTTCGCTTGCGACTGGCACACGACGCAAGTTTCGTATCTCCCGACATAAAGGTGAGGAGGATCAATCAAGTGACATTCCTCTCTTAAACGAGAAATTTTAAAAAGTTATAAAACATTACATTGCCTTTATCATCGCGATATATCTTTGTGTGAAAACCGGAGAAAGAGGGAGAGGTTAAAGCGAAACGAGTTAAGGCCGCAACTCTGGTGGGCCGTTTCGCTATTTAATTGACAGCCTTAATTAGTTAGCCTTTTCGCGGTGACGTTGACGCAGGTGACACACATGAGCGAGAACACGACCAGGAGGGAACACGCTGGTCATCACTTGGGCTGTTTCTACAGCGGGTCAGTCGACGGTGATCCAAGTTCAGCGGTCAGCGTCAGCCTTTGTCACGGAATGGTGAGTCAGAGATCAAGCTTCAGAAAATCGTCTCCGCGATTCTTTATACGCGTCGTGTGCACAAGCCAATTAATTCCGATTATGAAGATGATAAATCTGCCTGGAGCTTGTGTTCCCGAGCGAGTCGATTAGCATAAAGTCGCATTGGGACAGCTAAATATATTTTCCATCGCTTGATGAATGTACTTTGGGCTATCGTTATGGCTGCCATTTTAGTTATTGGCATTCGTCATCATCATTAATATCATTATTAAAAATACACGCAGACACGAGTTGATTTTCGGTGCATGCCGGAAGTACTGAAAGGGTAGAAACGCCTCTCGAATCAAGCGTACATTGATCGTAAATGTCAAATACTGCACGGTTGCGTGTACCGATTCACCGCATTTCGTAAATATTTACGAGTCGCGTGGCGTTACGCTTGCAACATGAGGCTGAAAGATAGTGATATTAAAAGGGAGTATTATCCGTCGCGAAGACGGATAATACTCCCCTTTTATCCGAGTGCGTTTACTTTAAATTGTTTTACGACGTCGTAAAACGATGAAGAAAGTGTTATTGCTCGATGCAAAGTTCAAATTAAATTAACGTTTTTATTTAATCTTATCGAAAAACATCGTTTTTTATAAATGTCTCCGATTTTCTCTTTTCCCATGAATTTGAAATTGATCATTGCACTGAAAAAAATTTACTAAATTTTAATAAATATTTGTTTAAATAGTACTAATGAAACATTTACTTACAGTAAATAAATATTTACTCAATAAAAGAAATATTTAAATTAAATTAATAGTTCTTGTATCACACAAATAAATACAGTGAATTTCGGATCACCCAATATATGTCTACATTTAATAAATATTTAGTCAGTACTGTTTAAACAAATATTTATTAAAATTTTGTCCAATTTCTTTTTAGTGTGCAGCTTCGACACTTTTCCCAAACTTCAGAACACTTTTCAATAACGTTTGTGTGTCACGATCACATTACGAGGTTCAGAGGTCATCGACTTTTTTTTCTGTAAAAAGCTCGGAGTATTTCTCTTTAAAACTTCGCTATAAAATGTCTTATTAAGTGGCATTTGTAGTGTATCGTTAACGATCGACGATATGCCAAGAATCGACGATAATTTACAATAATAAATAACATATCGTCGCGTTCTTTTATTCACTTTTCCTCTAATTTATAGGCATAATAAATATGCACACATGGCATCGAGAGAGAAACTAGAAGTCCTCGCGATAAAACCTGTAGCTATACTTGCTTCCACTTTCCAAAAGAACAGGTAGGTATTTAAAGTCACATTGAGTTTCCGGGAGAGATCGCAAATTTTTAATTTACACTCGAACAAATGAGAGTTGTAATTTTACGTAATGGGATACTTGTTATCGACTATAATAATACAAGAATTACACAACAAATTGCATCAATCTTATAGGATGAATTTTATATATCCAAGTAAAACAACAGATCACGTCAAATGAATTGAATGATCAGAAATCGATTTTTAATAATTAGACATCGGATTCTTGTGCACAATTGCATATTTTTTTTTGGAAACAGATTGGAAAGTAAGATCAAAGTAGAAATCTGTCTTATTGAAAAAGCATTCTAAAAGTGCACATTTATTTGTGCATATTTGCATATTTTTGTCTGCATAAAAAATTCGATGTCTATTAATAATCACTTTGAAGCTGTTTTGACGCGTTCCATGTTGATGTCATCATGACTTTATTCTGTTTAGGTAGCTTAACAACAAAGGAGGATGTTAAAAACAAGAGTTCATTTTTGCCCCCCCCAAAAAATATAAGTGTTTTTTGTATAATAGATTTTGGCCTCCCGAATATGATTATTAAAAAGTTTATAATTATTAAAGGGTTCATTTGGAGATCGAAACCTTCAAAAAGCATTATCTATTTTATCTTATACCTTTTCCGGTTCTTATTTTAACATTAATCCTCTTTCATTTATCAGCTGTAAAGATAAAAAAAAGAGGTAAAGGAAGAAAAGTGTATGTTCTATGGTACTAAATATTTCTATGTCTGAAAATAGTTGCACGCAAAAAATAGGTTCAAGGCCCGCATAGACCTGCAGGCATTAGCCAGCGTGTATCACACTGGATGGTACGTATTTTATGTGATTTGTTGGATTACATGTGCCGCGCGCGCACATACATACATCCGGTGGAATCGTCTGGCTGTACCTCTATCCGAAAGCCGATTTCAAAAGAAAAAAAAAAAAAGAAAAAAAGATACGACTCTCGATCGTATATCAAACATCTCGGAATCGTCTGAGTCGCGCAACTCCGTGAGCCATTCAGCGGGAATGCACGATTGGTCATCCGCAACACCTACCACGACGTTCCATGGGAACGTAGACTCTGCGATACGATTGGATTTTATATCAAGAGGTGTTAGAGATCGAGAGAAGAATTATTTGCGACGCTTCGTGAGCGCGATTTATTGCGCGAGACGGCCCGTACATTATGACCGGATGGTGGACGCGATGGTGGACGTCGCGTTTGTCGCAATGTCCCTCGCGGATTGCGAAGCTACGCTTTTGCGAAACATCGAGGAAATGATAGGCACCTTTACGCGCGCGGAAATTCTAGTTGTCGTCCTCCAATCGATTCTTCGAAACGTATATCCCGTCGAATAAATTAATCTTCGACATCTGGGACTGTCTGAGACGTTCATCGTGGGATTGTCTAGGGACTGTCTGAAATTTCTTCACCACCGTGGTCACCAGTTGTGAGCCGTCGGTGGAAGCCTTTGAGTGTTTTTTTTTTTTTTGGTCGTTTCTTACGTCAAATTCGTTCCGAAACATTTTAGAGTTTCCGTCAAAGATCGTTTCTTTCGATTATCTTAGGCGAGCCTGAATAAGAAATTTATTAAGATCCATTGGGATTCATTAAGATGCATAAAGCATCTTCTTTGTCAAGTTTTTTCGGGACGATACGGTATATAAGATTGATTATCGTGATGTTTTGTTCTCAAATAGATGAAGGAAGCTATTTCGAGTAAAAGAGGATCAAAACAGTTTCTAGAAGAAAAATTGGTACACTGAGAAAAATGCAGGATTGTGCATTTACGCCTATAATAAAATAATCTATATCTATGTGTATACACAAAGTAAATTATGTAAATTATGTTTTATGTGTCATCTGTATAAACAATCTATAAGTTATTGAAGCCTTCTTGTCGTTGCATTGGATTGCGTCAAAGCTTTTATCTCGCTTATATTTTTTTTATTGGTCAATGTTAAAGTTAAACGCATTAACAATTATGAAACTTAATTACTTTTCTTTCTGTGTTGTGTAATCCAATTTATAATAATTTATACACATTTTACATTGCTTGTATTGTTTACATGAGAAAAATTCGTGTGAACGTAAATAATTCGTAAAATTTCCGTGTAATCTTGAAATATATGATGAATATAATAATTCTGATTTGATAGATTTAACTATGAGTCTGATTTGTAGCTTTATGATTGAATTAAAATTTCAATTAATGTAACTAGATTCTTTTTTCAGTGTAATAATATATATACGGAAAGGACAATTTTACTGAAATATCTGAAAATTTCACTTATAATTGTCTAAAAATTTAGTTACAGCAAATTCGATTGGATGCATTCAGAGCGTATTGGTGCACGTAAAGTTGTCATACGGATTGATATAAAATATATGTATAAATAATATAGAAACGGATTAACTACGAAATCTTTATGTTGTTAGGCAAAATATGTATTTTATAATCCGAAATATTTGTAATTCATTTTTACACTTAGATGAAATCAGTTTATAGCAGCTTTAATACGCATCAGAACGTCCAACTAAATTTGCTATTAGATATACAGAAAACAATTTTATTGGATCAAAATATAATAATTGCGTAGGATATTCAAACTGGTGACTAAAAAATATCAAAACTTTTTCAGTATTGCTTGTCATACTTGAGTTTCCTACATAATTATTTTGATGGTTCAATAAAATTATTTTCAGATCTGTATCTAACATAATTTTTAAATACTTCAACAAAATTGTTCTTTCCGTGTAGTGTATATTTGTGAGCGTCAGAAATTGCGTTCGGGTCTTGTTGACCCTTCGTGGTCTTACAGACCTTCTCTGTTAGGATCTTTCTCGCGACCCTATGTGAAACTCGGGTCTTCTTCCTTGGAGAAAAGACTCTGAAAAGGAGAAAATGGAATAAAAAATTTGCTCCTCGCTTATTTAATGTTTCTCATAGCGATTTGGGTCATGTTTTAATTTAGCCATGACAAGGTTAGACTGATCAATCGGCCGTCTGTTTCAGACATAGAAATAGGAAGAAGTACGCGCCCGTTCAGTTGAGCCTTGATGTCTTTACTCTCGATAGCAAGTCGAGCCACTCGACCTAATTATTCGACCCTGCTCGTGAGACGAGCGAATCTCGGTCGTTATCTCGATCGTTCGTTCTCCTCATCATTTTCCGATATCCACTAATCCTTTTTATTGCCCTCGATATTCCATGCCTGAATTGAAAATTACATAGTTTATGGTCGGGTATTTCTTTCTGCGCACAGCTCGTTAGGAATCCCATAATTTCAGACCTTATGTATTCTCTGATGAAAGTTTTTCATAGAATTCTTCATATCATTTTTCAGAATTTCTATATAAATTTCGGAATTGTTCTGAAATTTCTGTATAATTCTAATATAACTTTTTAGAAAAAAATCTGTTCTCGGATTGTTTTAGTCAGAAGTACTGACAAGATGAGACAGTTTATATCTTTTCTAGAATTGTTTATACATATATGTAAATTTTGAAATATTTTATAATTCTTAAGATTTCTTATTGTATAATTTTAAAAAATTTATAAAAATAAAAAAAAACATTTAAAGTATTTTTACAGAGATTTATATAAATTTAAAATATGAAAAATTAAAAAAAAAATATTATAAAAACTTTTTCATCGGGTCGACATTTTTTGAAAAAATCGTTTAATTGAGGCAAAGAG